CCTTTTCAAAATCTATAAAAAGCAATAGCCCTGGGATGTTTTTTTGAGAAGCGTAGTTCATAATGTTATCTATCAATCTAATGTTTTCTCCAATAAATCTTCCTTTTAGGAAACCGGTCTGGTCGTTATTGATAAGTTTTGGATAACAGATTTTATTCGGTTTGCGATAGCTTTCGCAGCTATTTTGTAGTCGCAGTTGAGAAGAGTTAGTGGCCGCCAGTTTTTAATTAAGTGCGGTTCTGCGTCTTTTTTTGGTATGAGTTTAATGATTCCGCGTCTCTGTGTGATCGAAAGGCTTCCTTCATCATATGAATAGTTGAGTGCACTTATTAGAAGAGGAGACAAGTCTTTCCAAAAAATTTTGTAGAAAGGATTTTTACATGAATGTGAGGCTTAGGATGTACAATTAAGTATTGTTATTCAAATTTAGTCGCCACTGATGGAAAGGGTCGATAAGCGTCTATACAGAAGAGGAATATTCTTTAAGTGGTTCTGCGATCATGATCACACAATTCAAATCATCACATTTGTCCAGTAGCAATTTTATACATTTACGAACCGTATTTCCTCCTGACAAGAAGAATTGAATTTGTTTTCAATAATCTAAAAAAACGAATAACTCAAAATAAATCATCAAAAGAACGATCCTAGGTTTGTGCCATAAGGAAAATCTTTACCGTGCATACGTAACAGTTTGATTAAACATTGTTCAGTAGCTCGATGCTGAACAAGAGTGTTTGGCACAAAAATACAATCATCGTAGTCATCAATTGGCATATAGAATCCGCTATGATCCACCGCTATCACACCGGACTCGTTTGCAAGCATTCCCACATAAACATCGTCCATTCTATACGGCTTAATCACATCAAATAAAGCAACCAGACACCCGATAACATCATATGACATAACAAAGCCTGCACCACTACAGAAATCTGGATAGTGTGTGTGATTGTACTCTTCATAACTGACATTCCATTTCCCTTCTCGACGTACTATAGGATTGTGGTGCAGCATGCCCATAAAAAGCCCTTTGTTTGGTGTTGTTCGTCTTTGCAAGAATTTAATCAAATCTTTGTTGTTAACCAGCACATCGTCGTCTGCTTTGAGAAGGTAAGAAAAACCACAATATCTGGCTGCCCATTCGAAGGCCATCTGTATCTTCAAACTCTGGTTCCAGTAATGTTCATAATAATCCGCACGAATCATGTCACCATAGATGCTATTTTCTGTTTGAAGAAGATCTGATTGTGTTTGATTCCTTGTTTGACCAAGGAGAAAGTATGTCTTCCACTCAGGTGCAGTCAGATGGATATCAGTACCCCAAGTTTCACGAATTAAATTTCTCCTTTCCAAATTTGCCGGTGCAGTCGAGACCAGGATAAGAAGGAAATAATCTCGTTCACAAGCAGTCTTGGTAATCAAAGTAGTTTTGTGCTGCGGAGTTGTTTTCCAAGATGTACAATCGTGGCGAGGAATATAGCCGCTGGGAAAAGTAGGAGGTGCAGTGGAGTGGTCCGACTTCACGAACACACCATCTACCAATATAGCTATTAAAGCCACTGTGCACATTATTACAGCAAGAAGACGAAGTTCCCTTCTCGTCAAAGCTAATGTTTTCCAGCCCAATATTACTAGACAATGTTTTAATTTGCGACACATATTTTGAACCTGATACTAGTTAACCACACGGCTCACTTGGTAAGTTGCATAGGCTTTCTTCGGAGTAAAATAAATCAAACTGCATTGGCCTAAATTAAAAGAAAGACAATAGAAATAACTAACTAGCCAAATGATTAGTTAGTGAATGACTAACAGGAACTATTCTAATTTGATGTGCTATTAATAAAATCCTGGGTTCAATGTATGGTCCCTAGTACGTAAAAGCAATCCCAGATAAATAAGGTTTTGATTATTCATTAGTAAGTTTCTGTTAATGGCAGTTGTTCGCTTCACAAATTTGTCTTTGAAAGTCCGTAAAGTATGTGGTCATCTATTCTGTTGCCAGGCAAAAAAACTATGAATGAAAGAATGAACGAACGAACGCACGCACGAACGAACGAGCTAACGAAAGAAAGAAAGAACGAACGAGCTAACGCGGAAGAAAGAACGAACGAACGAACGAGCTAACGAAAGAAAGAACGAACGAGCTAACGCGAAAGAAAGAAAGAACGAACGAACGAACGAACGAACGAGCTAACCAAAGCACAGGCGGCCCAAGCTCTCAATGTTATCCTTTTTTT